TGATTTTATTTATCTTTTCACAGAACCAGCTTTTGGTTTCATTGATCTTGCCATTTTTTTTTTTAGACTCATTTATTTCTGCTCTGATCTTTATTATTTCCTTCCTTCTATGCACTTTGAGCCTTGTTTGTTGTTCTTCTGATTCCTTTAGGTGTCAGGTTAGATTGTTTAAGATTTTTCTTCTTTCTTGAGATAGGCATGTATTGCTATAAATTTCCTTCTTAGAACTGTTTTGGCTGTGTCCCATAGATTTTGGGTTGTTGTGTTGTCGTGTTGTCATTCATTTATCTCAAGGTATCCTTTGATTTCTTCCTTGATCTCGTTAATCCATTTGTTGTTTAGTAACATGTTACTTAGACTCCACATTTGTGTTTTTCCGTTTTCTTCTTGTAATTGATTTCTAGTTTCATATTCTTGATATAATTTCAGTCTTCTTAAATTTATTGATACTTGTTTTGTGGACTAACGTGGTCTAGCCTGGAAAATGTTGCATGTATACTTGAGAAAATGTATATTCCACTGCTTTGGGGTGAAATGTCCTAAAAATACAATTAAATCCGTTGGTCTAAAGTGTCACTTATGGCCACCATTTCCTTGCTTATTTTCTGTCTGAGTGATCTTTCCATTGATGTCAGTGGGATGTTAAAGTTCTCTACTATAACCTGCATTACTATCAGTTTCTCCCTTTATGTCTGTTAATAGTTGCTTTATATATTAAGGAGTTCCTATGTTGGGTGCGTAGATGTTTATGAGAGTTATATCCTCTTATCGGATTGATCCATTTATCATTATGAAACGTCTTTCTCTGTCTCTAGTAACAGCCCTTGTTTTAAAGCTCTTTTGTCTGGTATAGGTATTGCTACTGCAGCTCTTTTTGTTTCCATTTGCATGAAATATCTTTTCCATCCCTTTACTTTCAGTCTGTGTGTGTCTTTAGATCTGAAATGGATCTCTTATAGGCAGAATATGTATGGGTCTTTTTTTTTTTAATCCATTCAGCTACCTTAGGTCTTTTGATTTGAGCATTTAGTCCATTTACATTTAATTATTGATAGGTGTGTACTTATTGCCATTTTATTGTTTTCTGATTGTTTTTAAGTTCTCTGTTCCTTTCTTATTCTCTTGTATGATGACGACTTTCTATAGTGTTGGGTTTCTTTCTCCTTATTTCTTGTGTATTTCTCATAGATTTTTGGTTTGTGGTTACCATGTGCTTCCTATATACCAAGCTCTGTTTATAGCAGTCTATTTTAAGTTGATCGTTGCTTAAGTTTCAAACACATTCTAAGATCACACTATTTTCACTAACATCCACCACATTTATGTTTTTGTTATATTTTTACTTCTTTTGTGTGTTTGTGTGTATCCCTTAATTTACTATTGTAATTACACGTGCTCTTCCTACTCTTGCCTTTTATCTTTGTACTAGCTTTAGTGTTGGTTGACCACTGATTTTATTATGTGTTTGCCTTTATCAGAGAATTTTTATTGTGTGATATTTTATTATCCATATTTTTTACTTTTTTCCTCCTCTTAAATTTGTTAACATTTCTAATAATACTGGATTGGTGGTGATGAACTCTTTCAGCTTTTCCATGTCCAAGAAACTCTTTGTCTCTCCTAGGATTCTAAATGATAGCCTTATTAGGTAGAGTAATCTTGCTTTAAGTCCCTGCATTTCATCACTTTGACTATTTCCTGATGATTCCTTCCGACCTACAAAGTTTCTGTTCAGAAATCAACTGACAGTTTTATTGGAGCTCTTAGGATTCTCTGTCTTTAACCTTTGGCATTTTAATTATGATATATCTTGGGGTAGGCCTCTTCAGGTTCATCTCATTAGGGACCCTGCACTTCCTAGACTTGTTATATCTATTTTCTTTGCCACAGTAAGGGAAGTTTTCAGTCATTATTTCTTAAAATAGGTTTTCAGTCTTTTGCTCTTTGTCTTTTCATTCTGGGACCCCCTACAAGTGTGAATGTTGTTATATTTTATGTTTGTCACTAGCCTGTTTTTAAACTTTTATGTTAAACTAGCCTGTTTTTTAAACTTCTTTTTACTAGTTCTGCTTGGCTGTTTTCTGTTACTGTGTCTGCCAGATTGCTGATTCAATCCTCTGCTTCATCTAATCTGTTGAGTCCCTCCGATGTTTTCTTCATTTATTATATTCTTCATTTCTGTTTTTTGTTGTTGTTTCTCTTTGTTGAGATTATCAATGAGTTCATCTAGTCTTCCCCTAAGTTCATTGACCATCCTTATTACCAGTGTTTAGAACTCTGCATCTAGTAGATTGCTCATCTCCATTGTGTTGACTTCTTTTTCTGGAGTTGTCCTGTTCTTTCATTTGGGACATGTTTGTCTTCTCATTTTGGCCGACTCCCTGTGTTTGTTTCTATATATCGGGTAGATCTTCTACATCTCCCAGTCTTGGCAGAGTAGCCTTATGTAGCAAGTACCCTGTGAAGTCCAGTGGCACTGTCTCCCCGTTTGCCTGAGCCATGTGCTCCAAGAGTGTCCCTAGTGTGGGTGTATGTGCCTTCTTGTTGATTTAAGCCTTGATTGCTGTTGGTACATCTGTGGGTTGGATTGATCCTCAGGCTGACTGGCTGTGAGGGATGGTTGTTACTACAGTAGACAAGATGTTATATGGAAGGAGACCCACGGAGTGATAGTTGCTGTAGTGGGGCTGTTACCAGCTGAGTTAGCCCTTTGATTGTGTCATTTGTGGAGCTGGTTGGGTGGTGCCTTGTGTGGTCTGAAGCTGGCCACTGGCTTTGTTGTTTCTGGAGGCTCTTGGGAGGGGCTCTGGTACTGGCCAAGGTCAGTCATTTGTGTCCAGCTCAAGGAGCTTAGTGGGAGCTACAGAGTGATCTGTAGTTGATTGCTGCTTGTGCTGGGCCTGGAGGTTCTTGGGAGAGGCTATGCTGCAAACCAAGCTGGATGCCACTAGTTCCAGGCTTGGTACCTTTGGTGGGCACCACAATGTGAGCTGAGGTCATCCGTCTCTTGTGCTGGATTTGTGGCCACTTTGTTGAAGCTGCATTCCAGGCTAACACTGACTGCAGGTTAGGCCAAGCTTGGGGCCACCTGCTGGGTGTTACAATGCAAGTTGAGACCGGTCGCTGCTTGTGCTGAGCTTGGGGCTGCTTAACAAGAAGGACAGGGCATGCCGAGGCCAATTGCTGTTTGTTTAGGGTCCATGGACCTGTGAGAGAGTTTAGGAAAGTCTGCAGCAGCATCCAAGGCAGGCTGCTTGTGTGTAAAAGCTACTAGAAGTGTCTCAGGCAAGGCACATGAGTTGGGTGGGGTGGGGTGGGGTGGGGTAGGGTTTCAAGGAGTCATCAGGGAGAAGTGAAGTGTTAACCAGGTTCATGGAAACCTTAAATTTGGTGCCTGCCTATGCTGGGCTGGCTGGGTGAGGGGAAGGCTAAACAAAGGAGCAATGGCACCTGCCTGTGTCTCTGTCCCTGGAGAGAGCTGTCCTGACCACTACCCCTCCAGCCTTCACCCTGAAGTTAGTCAATTCTGTTCCTCCCTATATCCCTGGAGCTCTTTGAGGGGTCAACCCACCCCCACCGTGTACGAGAGCTCAAAGTGAGTGTGTCTGTGTGCACGCCCCTCAAGGGGAATGCCTAGGAATCCAGCAGCTGGAGTCCCAGGCTGGGAGCCCAGCATGGGGCTGGGACCCCTTGCTCCTTGTAAGGGAGGGGTGGATTTCCGTGACCAAGATGTCCCTCCTGATTCTTAATTGCCATACTGTAGGTGTGGGACCTGCCCATTCGGCATCTCTGCCCTTCCTACCAGTTTTCACATGGCTTATTTATATTCTTATAGAACTTCTGTTCAGCTAGTCTTCAGGTGGTTTTCAATGTTGGTTGTTTTATGATTTAGTTGGAATTTTTATGTGACTGTGGGAGGAGGTGAGCACAGCATTTACTTACTCCACCATGTTGGCTGAAAGTCAAAGCCATTGTTACATCTTGGTGAACTGTACTGCTTATCATTATGAAACTTTTCTTATATTTGTCAATGCACTTGTCTTGAATTCTACTTTGTCTGATTTTGCATTAACAATTGTGGTGTCTCTGTGATCAGTATTTAAATGGTATGTTCTTTTCTATCTTTTTATGTTTTTGTGTCTTGTATATATATGCGTTTTTGTAGATAGGAGTTTCTTGCTTTTTTTGTACAGTCTAAAATATATCTCCTTTTAATGTCTTTTACATTTAATGTAATTATTGGTGTAGTTGGGCTTAATCTACAGTATTGCTACTTGTTTTAGCCCCATTTATTATTTGTCCCTTTTTACTTCCCTCTTGCTCTCTTTTGGACTAATCGAGAATTTCCCTCTTCTCTCTTGGCTTTTTTAACTATACTTCTTTGGTTTTTTTTGGAGAGATTTTTAGTGGTTACTCTACAACAGGGGTCCTCAATGCCTGGGCCGCAGACCAATACCGGTCCGTGGCCTATTAGGAACCAGGTCACACAGCAGGAGGAGGTGAATGGCTGGCCAGCAAGCAAAGCATCTGTGTTTGCAGCTGCTCCCCAGCACTAGCATCACCACCTCAGCTCCACCTCAGATCACCAGGCATTAGATTCTCGTAGGAGCACCAGTCCCTGGGGCCAAAAAGGTTGGGGAGCATTGCTCTAGAACATAGGTTCAGCAAACTATAGCTTATGCGCCAAATTCAGCCAGCTACCTCTTTTTGTAATTCGTTTTATTAGTATATAGCTGTACTTATTTTCTTACACATTGTCTAAGACTACTTTCATGGTGTAGTGGCAGAGCTAAGTAATTGCAACAGACGGTATGGCCGAAAATTCCTAAAATATTTATCTGCTCTTTTGAAGAAAATGTTTGCAAACCCCTGATCTAAAACAACTCTATCTACTAGAATAAAATGTGAGCCTTACATGTAATTTTAAATCTTTTAGTAGCCATATTGAAAAAAGTAAAAAAGAAACAGGAAAAATTTAATATATTCTAATTAAGCCAGTATTCAAAATGTTGCAATGTTTTATTACAAAAATTTTTTTGAGATATTTTATATTTTTATCATATCAAGTCTTCAAACTCTGGTGTGTTTTACACTAACAGCACATCTCAATTTGGACTAGCCACATTTCCAGTGTTCGAGTCATATGTAGCTGGTGGCCACTGTGTTAGCACAGCTCTAGAAATTATAATGTGCACCTTTAACTTATCACAGTCCGCCCTGAGTTAGTATTACCACTTCACATATAATATTAGAACCTTACAAAAACGTATTTCCATCTATCCCTCCATCCTTTGTACTACTGTCATATATTTTGCTTTTACATTTATAATTCCATAATGCAGTTATTATTGTGCTTTAAAGTCATTTTTCCTCCAGAGAAATTGAAAAAGATGGGAAAGTCTTTAACATGCCCATCTTTACTGTCGTTGGAATTCTTCAGACCTTCAGTAATCTGAGTTTACATTTGACATCATTTCCCTTCAGCCTAAAGAAATTTCTTTAACAATTATTGCAGTGTAGATTTCCTGGAGACTAATTCTCTCACCTTTTGTCTGTCTGAAAATATCTTCATTTCACCTTTTTCTCTGGTGTGGAGAAAGCTGGAACTATATTTCTGAATTAATTTTTTTAGCATTTTATTTTGAAGTAATTATAGACTCAAATTGCAAAAATAGAAAACTCCCCTGTACGCTTCAGTCGCTTCCCCCAATTAAATCATCTTCTATAACCATGGTATAATTTTCAAAACCTGGAGTTGACATTGGTTTACTTCAAAATACAGACCTTATTTGGTCACCAGTTTTTATGTGTGTGTGTGTTCCATCACACTTAATTACACATATTGAGTAGACACCTCAATTGTCCTAACTGTTCCATGACCACAGAGAAACTCCCTTATACTGCTTTATAGTGACAATACCCCCTAATCCTAAACCCTTGAAAGCACTGGTCTGTTCTGTAGCTCTGTAATTTTGCCATTTTGAGCATCTCTTATAAATCATATTACATACTATGTAACTTATTGAGATGGGCTTTATTTCATTCACCATAATGCCCTTGAGATCTGTGTTTTGCATGTATCAACAGTTCGTTCCTTTTTATTGCTAAGTAGTATTCTGAAGTATGGATGTGGCATCAACATGTGAAATCATATGATTTTTCATCTTTACTGTAAACATGGTGGATGACATTGATTGGTGTTTGAATATTGCACTAATCTTACATTTCTCAAATAGACTCACGTGGGCATGATACATTATTCTTTTCATGTTGCTGGATTCAGTTTGCTGGTATTTTGTTGAAGATATTTTACATATGTTTATGAGGACCACTGAGCTGTAGTTTTTATTCTATTGTCTCCGTCTGGTTTTGGTATCAGGATAATGCTGGCTTCACAGAAATGAGGTTTTCCTTCATCTAATTTCTAGAAGAGAATGAGTAGAATTGGTGGTGTTTCTTTTAAAGATGTTTTGGAGAATTCTCCAGTGAAACCATCTGGGCCTGGAAACTTCTTTTCTTTTTAACTATGAATTAAATTCCTTTACTAAAAATAAAAATGTTCAGATTATCTATTTCAGGAGTTGGCACACTTTTCTGTAATGAGCCAGATAGTAAATATACAGGTTTTATAGGTTCTGTGGTCTCTGTCACAACTATTCATCTCTGAATTGTTGCACAAAAGCATCATAACACTACGTAAACAAATGAGTATAGCTGAGTTCCAACAAAACTTAAATTACGGCACTGAAATTTGAATTCCATATAATTCTCAAGTGTCACAACTTTTTCCCCCTACCATTTAAAAAGAACAGTAAAAACTGTTCTTAGTTGGTAGACTGTACAAAACAGGTGCAGGTGGTGTACTTGATATGGCCTGCTGACCAGTTTACCAACTCCTAATATATTTCATCTTGAGTTGCTTTTGATAATTTGTGGTCCATTTCGTCTGAACTGTCGTTTTTAAGAACTGTTCACAGTATTCCCTTATTTAAATCCTTTAAATATCCATGGGATCTATAGTAATATTTCTTTCATCCTAGATATTGACTAGTTGTTTTCTCTTTTTTGGGGGGGTCTGGTTTATCAATTTTATTCATCTTTTTGCAGAACCATCTTTTGTTTGTTTGTTTTTTTCTCTATTTTTCTGTTGTCAATTTCATTGATTTCTGCTCTTGAATTTATATTCTTTTTCTAGTTTCTTGAGGTAGAGACTTAAGTCTCAATTATTGAACTGAGACTTTTCTTTTCCAATATAAGTATTTAGTATTATAGATTTCCTTTCTAGATAGTGTTAGCCGTGTCCCACATATTTTGATATTTTCATTCAGTTCAATATATTTTTAAGTTTCTCATGGGTTTCTTAGACCTATTCATAAAAGTGCTTTTAAATTTTCAAGTGCTTGGAGATTTCCTTATTCTTTCCTTCAGCTTGATTTTGATTTATTTTCCTTTTTCTAGTTTAGGTAAGTTAAGCTATTGATCTCAGCCCTTCACTTTTTTATAATATGAACATTTAATGTTATAAATGTCTTGCTAAGCCCCATTTTAACTGCATCCCATGAATGCTTATATATTGTATTTTTATTTTGTATAGTTCGAGACATTTTGTACTTGAGACATTTTTTGTGATGCCCTGGCTATCAGAAGTGTGTTGTTTCATTTCTAAGTATTTGAAGATTTCTGTTATCGATTTATAATTTATATTATTGTCTGAGAACATACTTTGTATAATTTTGTTTTAAATTTAAGGTTTATTTTATGACCCAGGATAATGATCTCTCGGTGAATGTTGCAGTTACAGTTGAAAAGAACACGTATTTCCCTTGTTTTGTGGTGGAGTCCTATATATCAGATCTCATTGGTTTGTGGTATCATCAGTTTCTTCTATAGTCTTGCTAATTTTCTCTAGTAGTTCTACTAATTACTTAGAGGAGAGTTTTCTAGTTAGGAGGGTGTGGGCTATTGCCTCTTTTGCTATCATTTGCTTATTAGCACACGGCAGTGATGGTCAGTAGGGATCCTCCCCAGTGTTTGAAGGTTGCTGTCTCTTTGCTCTTTGCTTAATGCAAGGCAGGCATGGTCAGTAGGACTCTACCCCTCGGTCTCCACAGGGTCTGGTCTGCTGCAGGAGGCGTTGCTTCTGCCTGTTAGTGCAGAGAAGGACAGTTTACAAGGCTCTGCGCGGTAGTCCCTATAGTAAGTACCTGGTAGGGAGGGAGGGGTGCCACCTCTCTCATAATTGCCATAACACCCAGTGAGACAGGATACTGCCTTGTTAGTATTGGGATGGTTGACAGGGCTCTACTCTAGTCTCCTCAGTGCTCAGTTGGGAGGATAGATGTGCTCCCTGGCTAGTACAGGGTGGTGATACTTGACAGGGCTCCACAGCACGTGGTGGGAAGGAGACGTGCAGCTTCTTTTATGGTTTCACCTAGAGTACAACAGGTATAGTCAATCTGTCCTGTAGACCTTTGGACCTTTTAGGTTTCACCTAGAGTACAACAGGTATAGTCAATCTGCCCTGTAGACCTTTGGACCTTTTGTCTGTGCATATTGTTTTCAGACTGTAGGCTGCTTTATGGCCTAGGCTGGGATACATAGGATGAACTAAAAAGAAGAGGGCTTGGCAATGAGAGACTCATGGCTGGGTCATTTCGCACATCCTGAGGTGCCTATCCAGTCTGCCTTCTATTCTACAATTTCAGAATGTTCTATTCGTTTTTGTCTAGTCTTTAGATGTAATTAGGAAGAGGAATAGAGTAGAATGTTGTTATTCTGGCTTGCCTGTTAATAAGATGTCCCTCACCTTCATTCTGCAGGCCTCATTGGGTGTGGAATTTTTTGTTCTGGACTTTTAAGATGTTGCTTCCCTATCTTCTTGGGTTGGTTTTTAATGATGAGAATGTTAGCAATTATTCTTTTCATTGACCCTGTATATAATAATGTATCTCCCTTCTAGCTGCTTTTAAGATTTGCTTTTTAATCTCTGGTTTTCTAGGGATGGTTGTCTTGCTTTTTGGTTCATTGAGCTTCTTTTATCTGAGTTATTTGTCATCAAAGTGGAAAAGTTTCAGCTATGATTTCTTTGTTTCCTGCTTTAATCCCTCTAAGATCCAAATACATGCAAGTTAGAATGCCTTACCTTTTCTACCATAACTGAGGCTCTGTTCATTTTTCAGATTAGTCTTTTATCTTGCTGTACTTCAGATTGGATATTCTTTTGCTGGGCCTCTTGTTGGCTGTCAGATTAGCTATTAAACCTGTCCAGTGAATTTTTCATTTCATAGATTGTACTTTTTAGTTCTAGAAGTGCATTATATTTTCCATTTTTCTGTTGAGAGTCCATCTGTTCACTAATTATGTTTAACTTTTTCTCTAAGTCCTTGAACATATTTATATAGATGTTTTATTGTTCTTATTTGATAATTCTACCATCTGGGTAACATCTGAGTCTATTTTTATTGTTTTTTCTCCTAGTTGTGGATAACATTTTCCTGCTTATGAGTAGTAAAGTTTTATTGTATGTTGAACACTGTGGATGCTAAGTTCTTGAAATTCAGATTTTATTATATTCCTTTAAAGAGTGTTTTGTCCTGGTGGGCAGTTAATTTATTGGTGGTTCAACTTGATCATGTGCTGAATTCTGTTTAAACTTTTGGGGGCTGGTCTCAAGTGAGTATCATCGTGAATTGTAGCCTTTCTGGGGTCTGTGTTTTCCTTTCCTCAAGAATCACAGCCTTGTTTGTTTTCTCTGCCTGATAAATTGCTATGTATATTTTGCCTGCTTTTATTATTGTATTTATTTCATGGGTTTTCATGGCAGGAAGTGAGGTCTTATACCTGTTACAGCCAGAAGTAGAAGGGGTGTTCACATTTTTCATAGCTTCCTAATTGATTCTAATGTGCATTCAAGGCTGTTCACTGCTTATAATGCAGGGTTTCCTGATAGCATCACTGTTGGCACATTGGGCTGGCTTATTTGTTTTAACTGTCTGTCCTGTACTTTGTAGGATACCATCGTGGCCTTTATCCAGTAGAGGCTAATACTATGTCCTCCCAGTTGTTACAACACAAAAAGTCTCCAGAAATTGCTAAATGTTCCTGTGGGGCAAAATTTCTCCAGGTTAAGAACTAGCTCTAGCAACATAGATTATTATATACCTTAAGCCCATGCTACTCAAAGTGTGCCATGACAGCCAGCTGCACTGGCATCACCTAGAGCTTCTTAGAAACACAGAATCTAAGGTTTCACATCAGACCTTTTGAATGAGATCTGAATCTTAAGATCCGAAAATGATTTGAATGCTTTCTAATGTTTGAAAAAGAATTCTATAAACCAGGGGCCAGCAAACGTTTTCTTAAAGGACTAGATAGTAAAATATTTTAGGTTTATGGTCCAGTCATTGTCAGAACAATTCATCTCTGCTGTAGTGTAAAAGTAGCCATAGACAATCATAAACAAATGAGTGTGGCTGTGTTCCAATAAAACTTTATCCACAAAACAGACAGCTAGCCAATGAAACACACACTTAAAAATTTTTTTCACATTACAGTTGACATCCATTATTATGTTAGTTTCATAGTACTGTGGTTAGACATTTATGTAATTTATGAAGCGATCCCGATTAGTACCCACCTAGCACTACACAGTTATTACAGTATTATTGATATATTCCCTATGCTGTACTTTACATCCCCATGACTGTTTTATAACTACCAATTTGTACTTCTTAATTCCTATACCCTTTTTCACCCAGCCAGCCCTCCTCCTATCTGACATCCAGCAGTTTATTCTCCATATCTATGTCTGTTTGTTTAGTTCTTTAATGCCACATGTAAGTGAAATTATATGTTGTTTCTCTGACTTATTTTACTTCGTATTATACCCTCTAGGTCCATCCATGTTGTCACAAATGGTAAGATTTCATTTCTTTTTATGGCTGAGTAATATCACATTGTATATATGTACCACATCTTTACTCATTTATCTTTCATCTTTCAATGGACACTTAGGTTGCTTCCATATCTTGGCTATTGTAAAAAATGCTGCAGTGTGCAAGTATCTCTTTGAGATGCTTTCAGTTCTTTTGAATGTATACTCAAAAGTGGGATTGCTGGATCATATGGTAATTCTATTTTTAATGTTTTGAGGAACCTTTGTATTATTTTCTATAATGACTGTACCATTTTATATTCCTACCAGCAGTACACAAAGGTTCCAATTTCTCCGTATCTTCACCAAACTTATTTTCTGTTCTTTTGATAATAGCCATCCTAAAGGGTGTAAGATGACATCTCATTGTGGTTTTGATTTTGGATTTCTCTTACCATTAGTAAAGCCGAGCATCTTTTTATAAGCTTTATGGTCATTTGTATATCTTTGGAGAATTGTCTATTTTGTGCCATTGGCCCATTTTTTAAATTGCCCATTTATTTGACTTTATTGAGTTCTAAGAGTATATATCCTAGATACAAGCCTTTATCAGATATATAATTTGTAAAATTTTCTCCCAGTCTGTGGCTTTGAAATGATACCTTTTAAATTACAAGTCTTTAATTTTGCTGAATTTATCAATTTTTTTCTTTTGTGGATCTTGATTTTGGTATTACAGCTGTGAACTCTTTGCTTAACATTAGGTCACAAAGATTTTCTCCTTCCTGTTTATTCTAAAAGTTTTATATTCCAGCTTTTATATTTAGGTGTAAAATTCATTTTAGGTCAATATATAATATGAGGCAGGGGTCCAAATTCACCGTTTGGCAAGGAAATCTCAGCACTTTTGTTAAAGATTATCTGTCCCCAATGAGTTGCCTTGATGCATTTGTCAGAAACCAACTGGTTTAATGTGAGTGTATTCCTAGACTTGCAGTTCTATTCCACTGATCTGCATGCCTGTTCTTATGCCAGTACCATACCATCTTGATCCTTCTAGAAGTGTGAGCCCTCCAACTTTCTTCTTTTTCAAGGTTGTTTTAGCACTTTTGGGACCTTTGCATTTCCAAAGCTTGCTGGGATTTTGATTGTGCTGAATCTGTAGATCATTTTGGGGAAAAATTGGTATTTTGCAGCTTAAACAGTAATTGCCTCATGCAGTCATAGTTCCTGGCTGGAGTTGCTACAATCTGAATTGATATGGATTAGGTCCTGATCATTGAGACAGAGTCATTCCAGAAACTGAATTCTAATAGTAGCTGATTCTTCCTAGAGAGGCATGTTGCTTCTTGCCTTATGGGATTCCACAAATTTCTGATTTTGTGACCTTCATGAAGGCTGGAGAGCCTAATTCTTGGAACACCACACGTTCCAAGTCCCCACCAAAGTACAAAGGTAATGTTCATCTCTGAATCTTTGGCCACACCTCTTGACAAATTTTTTTTGTATGCTTCTACACATTCCGGTGTTAATTTGTATAGACTGCTTTCCTTTTTGGCTAGGAGATAAGAGCAAGAATGTTTTCCTAGATCAACTTTCTGGACAAATAAGGATATTTTTAAAAACCAGTTGTCTTCTTGAGTCTGTTGTTGGAAGATATTACCCTCCAGATCCCAGGCAGGAGGCTGGCTGCCAGCCGAGGCCACTCTGGGCATGCAGGTATCTTGCTCCCCTAGAACTACATTAACCCATTTACCCTGAAATAACTCGCAGATTACAGTCCTAACCTTACCACCGTAGTTTGCCACAAAATGTCTTGCCTTTATTATTATTTCTGCATCGCTCTAGTATATGAATAGTCTTTGGAAACAAATGACATCATTCTATTTACAGCATTCTGGTTTTAGTAGTGGTATTTCCATTCACAAAATATAGTAATTCTTCATTACTAAACATGTCAAATCCTAGAAAATGTAGCATTCTTGTACATGATGTTAACATCATTCTTGAACCGTTGTTAGCCTAAGATTCATTTGATCAATCTGATTTATGTATCCATTTCTGTTACGTTACAATTAAAAACAAGTGGTTTAGACATAACTCCAAGAACAGTTTCAGTGTTTTACTTTCACACTGAAAACCAGTCAGATTTGCTTCATTCTCATAGAGCATGTTTATATAAAATTAACGCTGGCAGCAAGTTGCATTTTTTTCCTAAACAAGAAATGGGTTAATGACCAAAAAGTTTTTTAATTATAACTATCTTATAACCCTAAAGTTAAATCTCATTTGTCTTGCCAAGAAAATTCAGTTTTCATATTATTTTTGGATTAAAAATTAAGAGATGGCTCACTTAAAAGAACCAAATTTACCAGATTTGACCGTTTGATGCTGGTAAGTACTTTATAAATTCCTAAAATAACTTTTCAGGAAAAATAAGCACAAAAACTTATTTAACATTCTTATGGAATATACAAAGTAAATAATCAGATAACAAAATCTAATGTACTATATATGTATTTTCCCATAGGGAAGCATAAGGAGAAGACAAAAATCAAGCTGTATACAGTCCCCAAATTCATTTTATGAACCCCATCAAGATTTTACCAGTCCAAACATATTCAACAAGTCAAAATGTCCATCCTGGTACACAAGCACTTCTACAGCTGGTATGGAAGTCACAGAAAGTTCTACAGGATTTTGGCTTCCAATTTCCCAGTTTACTCTTCATGGAGACACAAAGGCAGATGTGTGTTATTATGGCTTCACCATTCTTTTTCTTTTGATGTTAATATGTCTTGCTTTATATTTTCTCTGAAGATAACAAAATCCTTTTGATAATTTTTAAAGTCACCAGTTCTTCACAGAAACGTTACATTCTTATTTCAGGGCTTCCTCCCAGACATTTTCAAGGTAATTGGCTTATAAAAAGAGAATACATACAAAGTTTATGAACATTCTAAAACATGCTTTATGCTAAAAATGGTATGATACAGTTTGGAAAATACTTTTCTGAATTTCAGATCACTTAGGAAATCTAAAAAAGGGGTTATTCTAAAGTGTTCTCTTTTTGATCAAAGGAAGAATTTGAAAATTACTGATGGAAAATTCATCTTACAGAAACTTTTTTTTAAGTAACATGTCAAAAATTTTTAGATAAGCTGATATACTATATAATCTTAGAAAACGCATAAAGACATGAAATGTGATAATTTGCTTACCTTACTACAATATGGACATTCACCAAATATGATGTTAAAACTCTGTCTACTAGTCATTAGTCCTCTCAACCACTGAAGATATTTTTAAAAAAGAGAAAAGGAGCAGTTAGAATGATTACAAATTATAGATACCCCAGAAATCATTTCCTTTCTTTTTGAGTATATTATACTTTTACTCCAGAAGATTTACCTTCTTAATTTTCTTTTGCAAGAAAGAGTAAGAGGGAACATTTCTTGAGCTGAATATTAAGGGGAAACCAGCATGGATTTCCAGGCCTATACACATTGGTTTATAACCAAATTAAAGGCCACCCTAAGAATTTGACGAAAATTATTCACCTTTTCTACCCCTAAAACAAATACACAAAAATGCATCTAGGTCTCGGGGGTTCACAGAGCTACCTAATTCCATTAATACAAATTAAAAACTTCTCCTATAAAAAATACCATAGGCTCTTAAAAATTTACATTTTAATCACCAATAGTGGATTCTTAACTATTAATTATAAGCACAAGGCAGTTTTTTAAAAATTAAATGAATGTTATTACAAAAGACAGCACATGTTCCCTATAATTAGACCTGTTATTTTATATAAGGTGAACTGACATCTCTACCTCAGTTCTCCCTTATTAAAGATAAGGGAGATAGCACCAACTGCTATGTCTAATCACAAAAATCAGGTAGTGATATTAAGATGCTGAAAAATAAAAACACTATACAACTGCACAGTGTTTTGTATACAGATGCACATATAGCTTATCATATGTCAACTGTGCCCTAAGATGTATGCTATAGAGAGCAAATGACTACAGAAAGGAATGAAAGCAGACTTAAAAGTAACATTCCATCAGGCTAGTTCCCTTTACCTTGTTGCCACCACTACTCCCACTTGGATGAGTCTACAGTTTGCCTCTGGTTACATGTGGTATTTACTGAAAGATTCCAATGTAGCATCAAAATTAAAAATAGGGGTAAAGGTCAATAAGCAGTCCATGAATGTATTTCCCTGTTCTTGGTTAGGACATTTCTTTACCCATGAGAAACCATGATGAAGACATGGACATCTGGAATGAACTAGTAATATAGGAGCTAATGCAAAAGAAGAGATCATATTCAAACATATTTTAGACTCTTAAGCCAAATACGTATACTTCCTATGTTGTGTTAGCTGAAAAAAGTCTTGCTGATGTTCATTTTACCTCATATAAGCATATTTGATGGAAAGGCTGTCCGCACTGGGAATTATCACACACTTGATCAGGAATGGCACCATCAAGTTGATAGGCATAACAAATTCCACAATCCATAGAAAAATCCTTCAAAAGGAAAATATAAGCATATGTGTTTAAAACAAAGGTGAGACAATGCATAATATGGTAAAGATAATATTAAACTTTTATAATTTCTATAAAGGTAACTATTATAATAGCAAATCATCACAGCTATTTGTATGAGAGTGCTTCCTTTTTCATCTGGTAAATTATATACAAAGATACACAAGAAACATTCTATTTTTGGCTCACAAGATGTTTGGGCTTGACTAATTTTCCCATCTTGTACATCAGCATACTGTCACAGTAGTATGTAAAGATAAGAACTGGTATTGGGTAGTGATTGCTATCTAAACCTCAATATTCTGTATCTAAAGGAAAAATACGAAAACATCCTTAGCACTTTAATAGTCTACACCTTAACACTGTCAACAGTTGTTTAATTTTGCAACATAGTAGTGTTTATTCAATTTTGAGAAACCTTACTGCCATCCCTCACAAACACTTATATCAAGCTAATTAGAACTTTATTTCAGTCATCCATAAGCAGGTAGTATAGAAAATCCAAATATCTCATTAGCTACTTTGGACCTTTACCCCTATTTTTAATAATAAAGATGTCTGTCATTAATCATTTTTCTGCTATGAAGACCATGAAAGAAGTACACTTATAACCACCAGTCTAAGGTTAACAGGTTCTTTGATGCAGCTGTTGCCCGCAGTTCAGAAATCTGTTATCTTCCAGTTCCCTCACTTTTTCAGCCTCATATTTCTCTGGTGCCTAAAAGAACATCTAACTTTCATTATGCAACCTGTATGGAATATCAAAGCACTGAAAAAACTTACAGATTTCTCCAGGATAGCACGAGCTGGAAAATCAATTTCTAAAACATCTTTCAAATTTTGTAACAGACTGTTTTCTGGATCCCTGAAAGCATGAAAAAAAGTTGTTATTAAATTAGTAAAATCCTAGAAAAGTAACAATTCTACTGCAAAGATACCTACCACAAGTGTATGTTTCTGCTCAGCTTAATTCCCAGGGGTTTCACCACTTCAGATATTTAAATTAAAAAAAAAAAGTTTAATTTAGAGTTTGCCATTCTCATTTTGTAAAACCACATTTGGCACAGAATTTCTTTAAAATTAACATACAGCATTGTTACTTTTAGATTTGGTATATGTATATATTGAAAAATGATTACCACAAGTTTAGTTAATACCTATCACCACACATAGATAATTTTTTTTCTTGTGATGAGAACTCTTAAGATCTGCTTTCTTGGCAACTTTCAAATATACAATACAGTATTGTTAACTATAGGATTTGTTTAAACTACTTGATTAGAAATTCTAAATCATATTAAAAAAAATACACAGTTCAAAATGATGAGACATTTTCACTTAAAATAATTACCATTAATATTTTAGAATATTTTAACAGTGGTAGACAAGGATTTTATGGTTCTGCTAAAACATTTTAATCTGAGATTGCATACCATGATCAGCTCCAAGAAAGCAGCACTCGGGAAGCATAGTAGGATGCCTGGGGTCTACCTCTATATTTATTGAAGAATTATTCCCTAAAATAAAAATATTAAGCTTTTTAGAAGTAGAACAGTTTATCTAACAAAAAACAAAGGAGTATCTGGCTGGGTACTTATTTCATTATATACACAAGGAAAGAGTAACCAAATGTTTTATAAATTTTTTATAAAGAAATATATCACTATATTATAGTTAAAAAGTAAATTTTGAAATTATGATTATGCCTTAAGATTTGGGGATCCTAAATTTCAAAAAACAGTCAATACATAAGTTAACATAATTAATTTAGATTGGAATCATCAATTCTATCAAAGTTTACATAAAAAAGTTCTATGGAATGATAAAAATCTTTAATATAAAAAAGCACAAGTTTAAGAAATGTTGACATTACTTTTCAAGACTTTCTTGAAAAGTAATAGAACTATGGTCAAACATATAAAGATTAGAAATACAATAAGTGGTAAAAACATCCTTAAGATCTCAGTTTTATGAAGTTTTTATAATTCTTTAGTTCCATATAAAGTTTTCCCCTATATGTTAACAACAGGTTCAATTCTTGTTAAATTAGAAACTTCATTTAATAACAAAAACTAACCTTGCGTGCAGAATCTAAGAGAAAGCTATTTCTACTTGGCACTGGATTCTTTTATAAATTTTAACTCTACTGTCGTACAAATTTCTGAAATTTTACTATTTTTTGAAGATGCATAGTGTAATTAAGGTCAATTTGAATTTCATTTTTATAGTAAAAATGTCTCAATAAATTCTATATTCTAGAGTATAAGCCTTTGGCTAAGGTTGGCAACCATATAAATACAATTATTACAGATCTGGCAAATAGCCTTAAATAAATGTAAAGTAAAATAAATGACAAGTCATTCAATGAGAAAAAAATACATAATAACTTAAAATCTCATTTGTTAATGCATTCTATATCATGAACACAAATTCCGTATTGGCCTTTAGCAATGTCATCCGCTAATGACTCCAGAAAGTACTTTCACAACAATGGCTCTATATTAACTAATTTTTCAATAAATTTGCTAAAAACTTGGTCCTAAAAATGCAACTCAATGGCTAAAAGGGGGACAAAAGGGGGCGGGGAGCTAAAAGGTAAATAGTGTGAATTAAAAACCAGGTAGTTTATGCGAAACAATGAGAAATATAATAAAAGATATATTTAATCACAACAATAATATTTTAATGGGGCCGTGAAATTACTACATTTCTTTGAAGAAAATATTTTTATTCTTAATATCTGCTTGTTCAAAAATATACCAGAATTTGGTTAATTATTCCAAATTAAATACTGTTAGACTTTAACAAACTGGTAAGTAACAACATCATTTGTAAAACTGCTACACAATTATACCTTCCTCTTCTCATAGCATGTTTTTTCTTTCTCCTCAAATCTATTTTGCTTGGGTAGAAACTATAAAAATTGCTAAGTGGGAAATGATTCATACCAGAATTTCAAAATGTCCTTTGGAATACATAACTTAACAACATATCTATTTGGGCTAGGAAAAAAGGGAGGAAAGATATAAATAAGTATCTTCCAACCATTTAACTACAGTAGTTAGTGTGAACAAATATAGTTTCAAACATCTAAAATCTTGAGAGTCTGGTTACCAGAGGGGCAGGGAAGGGTGAAGAGATGGAGTAAAGGGGGTCAAATATGTGGTGACAAAGAAATTAACTATGGGAGGTGAATGCACAATGTAAATATATATATGCCTTACTGTTAAAATGTACAGCTGAAACATTGGGTTTTGTTAACCAATGTCACCATAAAAAAAGTAAATTAAAAAAAAAAGAAAAGATATAAAAACAAGAACTGGAAGTGAAGAGTGACTATAAAAAATTAACAATTTGGAGTTTATGTATCCTAAAATAAAGAAAATCTCAAGTCAAAAACTTGCTCATAATAAAAATACATAAAACAATTTTATAGTAAAGAGAATGTGGTAATATTTAAAGGATGATATTTATGGTTATATAACATTTTCATATAATGAAGAAAATACTTCCAATATATTCAATTACTTTGTGCTTTTTGTTTACTCTTTCAATGCATGGCCCACTTCAGATTCTTTTATCCTTTATATTTTTGTCAAAAAATATTACCAGATTTGTTCACATGAATCTTTTCTAGTTTCATGGATGAAGACTTCATTATTTCTAACAATTCTTCCTAACGTATGTTTTGAAAAACCTGCTCCACTGTTTCTGTACTAATTAAAAGCTCATTAAACACTCTCTGAATACTACTTCCATTGGATCGTCACCTTTTATAATGAAACACCTCAGTACCTGTCCTTTTTACTTGAAATATTTAAACATATACTAATTGCAGTTCATCCCAAAAATAGTTAACTTCATGCAGAAAAGTCTCATCTAACAGTCTGATGTCGTCTTTAGATTCATTTCCTAATATAAAATATAATCAAACAAATACTTTAAAAAAAAAAAGCTCAATTCTTTTTTCCTACCTAATGCAATTCTGCGTGCTGTTGCACTCCGTGTAGGTTTTTCTGGCTCAAGTACCCAAGTCTTCTCATCGATTTCATCCATAACATCCCAGAAGACCTTCAGTGATTCCAGTGCTGCCAAAAACTGACTATGAATGCTTATTATGGAGCTCTGTGAAAAGACGGGTGAAAGCTGAATGAGTTGTACGACACTATCAACAGCAGATAATCTTGCACTTAAAATACAACTTGATTTAGAATTTTTTTACTATGCACCTTATTTCCTTTCACTAAATGCACCACCTTTCTTTAGATACCAAAACAAGAAACCAAGTGTGATCCTTGTAGTTTTCCTCTTACACCTAATAATTTCAATTAACATAGGATCTGATTCTATTTTTAACATATTTCTTGATAACTCTATTTACACTAGCATTATTATATGCCATTAAAATAAATCCCCTAGTTCTCATTTCCAGACTTGCCGTCCTTGACTTCACCTATCTTACTGCACAGTACCCCATCTAAAATGTAAACCTGAACCTATCAATCCCCCTTTTAAAACCACTTACCTAGATTTTCATATTCACCTATAACCCATTTTTCATATTACAATTAAGTTGATTTTTGTATTTTGCAAACCTGATAGTATAATTTCCTGGTTTACAATAAAAGTTTAAATATAATTCTCAAAGTGATGATTTTTCTTTGTAATACTACCACTTACTGATAGTAACAAGCTGCAAAAGCTGTTCAATAAATATTTAAGTAAACTGAACTACGTGACAATCACTGATGACCCTCATCATTCTATTAAGTCTGCCATTACAAGTAGCTTGCAAATTATGTTGTATGTTACTGTTAGTGATTAAAACTGCATTTCTTTATCATGGTATACAATTAACATTGTTTAATATGCATACATAGACATGTCTACACAGTAAACTAAAATACCTTCCATGGGTATATTTACTACTACATGCTTCAGTAACCATCTTCTCTATGATCTCCCCAAATTTAGCCAGATGTAGAACTCCAGAACTAATCAGCCATCTGTAGACAGGTGATTTCTATATGGTTATCTAATAGGCACATCATACTCAGATTGCTCAAAGATGTTATCTTCACAGAGAAATCCTACTCCTACTGTTTGAGTTTTTTTTCTTTCCTTGGGAAAGGGGATACTACCTGTCCTGTTGCCCAAGCCAGGAATGTAAGCAGTCTTAACTTGACTACTAAAACAACCTACTGAATTTTCTTCATTTAATCATAGCCCTGCCGTAAGCTCATCATTTACACTGCATTTGCACTGACCTTTCTGCAAATATGACACTATAATTTCCTTGCTTATTTATAATAAAACAGTCATTGATCATCAGATGCATACATAACAATCCAACTGCTGGACATCATGTTGGGTTTTTTTTAATAGGCTAATTGAGGGATAATTTACACAAAGAACTGAACATATTTAAGGAGGAGTTTGGGTATATGCATACACCCATGATACCACTGCCACAATTGAGGAGTTTGGGTATATGCATACACCCATGAAACCACTGCCACAATCAAGGAAACAGACATATCGAATACCTCCCAAAGTGTGTATCTCTTTGGGTTTTTTGATAATACTTAACATGAGACCGGGCTACCCTCTCAAATTTTGAAGTACACAATACTGTACTGTTAACTATAAGCGCTATGTTGTACAGCAGATCTCTAGAACCTATTCTAACAAACTTTATACCCACTGAACATCATTTCCATTTCCCCCACCTTCTAGCCCCTGACAACCACTACGGTTTTCTCTGGATCTATGAATCTTAGATTCCTCACATGCAGTATTTGTCCTTTTGTGACTAGTTTATTTCAATTAGCACACTACTTTCCATATTCATCCATGCTGCTGCAATTGGCAGAATTTTATTTTTTAAAGGTTTGTATATACCACATTTTCTTTTGTTGATGGACACTTGGATTTTTTCCTATCTTGGCTATTGTGAATAATACTACAATGAATACCGGAGTGCAGGTTATCTCTTTGAGACTGATTCTAATTCTTCTGGATATATATCCAGAAGTCAGACTGCTAGATCATATGGTAGTTATGTTTTTTAAGTTTTTTTGAGAAACCTCCATACTGATTTTCATAGTTGCTGCACCGTTTTTCTCTCCCAATAGTGTTGAAAGGGTTCCAATTTCTCCAAATCCTCACCAATACTTGTTGCTCTTTTTATAACAGCCATCCTAACAGATGTGAGGTGAGCTCGTTTTATGTTTGATTTGCATTTCCCTGATAACAATGTTGAGGATCTTTTCATATACTTGTTGGCCATTCGTATGTCTCCTCTGAAGAAATGTCTGTTGAAGTCCTTTGTTCATTTTTGAATTTTTTAATTATTTTTTTTGCTATTGAAGTTGTAGGAGTTCTCTATATATTTTGGATATTAACCCCTTATCAGATGGATGGTTTGCAAATATGTTCTCCCATTTCATAGGCTTTTTCATTGTTTCCTTTTCTGTGCAGAGAGCTTTTAGTTTGTAGCCCTACTTGTCTATTTTTGCTTTGTTACCTGTGCTTTTGGTGTCATAGTCAAGAGATCATTGCCAAGACCGATGTCAAGAAGCTTTTCCTCCTTTATTTTTGGAGTTTTACAGTTTTGGTTCGTGAGTTTAAGTCTTTAATCCATTTTTAGCTAATTTTTAAGGGGTCCATTTTCATTTTTTCCCCACACCATTTGTTGAAGAGACTATTGTTTAAAAAAAATCAATACAACTGACTCTCCTCTATCTATACTTATATTTAAAATATATAATTACCTATTTCATTGTATACTCATGGAAAGGTTAACCAAAAAAAAGTCATAAATTGTTTTCACAGTGGCATCTTTCATTTGAAAACTAAGTACTCCCAAACACTGTCCATTTCTTGGGTGCTTGACTATAAACAAAATCCAAAACACAGGTCTGCTTAAAATGCTTCTCTGCATTTTGAGCAGAAAAGATATATTTTTTAAGAGAAAATGACAGCAAAAAATAAAACAACAACCCTGCAACCAGAAGTCAGTTGGTAATTAAGAAAAAATGAAATTTAAACCCTCAAAGTCTTCATCAGATTTTACTAGATAGCCATGTGAAGTAGATACAGTATTTTTATGGTCCAGATAAAGAGTCCAAAAAGGTGAAACGTGGGATATAAACATTTTTCTTAGCAATTACAATGAACTTTTAGCAAGTAGACGTTAAAACTATTTTATCAGAAAGCTACTTGAAAAACTAATAGATTTTCTCCAACTGTTTATTTTGTCCATTAATTCATGCATAAACTTATTTTCAATTGACTTCCCTGAAATTGAAAAAAATAAATGCCAAGGAAGTAGCCTATAATATGACCAAAATTAATATCAAAATTCAATAAGTATTTTGCAAGGAGATAAGTACTCTAAACATTTTTTTCAAAAACAAAAATTGCCTTGTTCTTATTTTTTTTTTTAATATAAGCAATCTCAAATCTCATCAAAGCTACTGTGGTACTACTGTATTAAGTTTTTATTTTATTTTTTTGTGGGGGTGGGGCATTTGCAATGTACAAAATAAAAAAATAAATAGTAAACGCAGGAAAAAAGTGAAAAAAATAATATTAATAAGTGACATTAAGATAAAAATACAAAAGGTTGATGAGGATGTAGAACCTGAACTTTCATATACTGTTGTTGACTGTGTAAAATGACACACTGCTTTTGAAAAGATGTGGCAATTTCTTTAAAAATTAAATATATTCCTATCTTATGACCTAACAATTCCACTCCAAGAGAAATGAAAAGCTATGTCCATAAAAAGACATATAAGAATGTTCACAGCAGTTTTATTCATAAGAGCCAAAAACTGGTATAAGTCCAGATGTCCATCAACAGGAGAAAGGATAAACTCCAATATATTCATGCAATGGAATACTACTCAGGAATAAAAAGAACAAACTACTGACACATGTCACATGGATGAATTTCAAAAGTGTGCTGGGTAAAATAACCCATGTACCAAAGAATACATACGGAATGCTTCTATGTATATAAAGTCTGGAACGGGCATAACTGAAAAAAATTACAACAATGAGGACTTCCTGGAAAGAGACAGAGACTGAGATGTTGATACTCCACATCTTGAGTGTGGACTGCACAAGTATATTCGTTTACTGAAACTTATGGTATATTTAGGATTCATGCATTTTTATTGTTTCCAAATTGTACAAAGCCGTGAACTCTAGTTAAATGTACATATATGCTGAAGTATTCTGGGGCACGATCTCTGATACCTACAAATTACTTTGCCAGGCACTAAAAACCACATGGATATGGACAGGAGCTGTATAAATTGAAAGATAAGTGATAAAGTAAATGTTAACTGTAGAATCCAGGTGGTGGATATATGACTATGCCTAAACATTTTTTCAATGTTTCTGTATATTTGAAAATTTATATAAAATATGGGAGGAATATTATATAAGTTATATGTGAGTTATAACTGAGAAAATTAATTAAAACTTTTCTGGATTATAAACTATTTTTTTCCCAAATATTCAATAATTGCTTTTTATATAAATCTCTAAATTTATATATTTTAAAAATATATTTAAAAACCTTCCCAAGATAAAAAAAAAAAAGTATATCTTCCTAGAAAAGAAGCTCAGTGTGTAACGTCTATGAAGTGTCTATGACAGGTATTTTTAATCAGAGAATCATAGGCTTCAGTTAAATAAAATACCACATCTTTATATTCTCTAAGTAAAATTTAGCATTTCCTTCAACCATGAATATAGATAACCACAAAAATATCAGGACCTATAACTTTCTCCACAATAAAAAGTCATTTTGGAATCACCAAGGGAACTTAAACACTAATAACTAGGTTACATTCTCAGTCATTCCTTTCTAATTGCTCTTGGTTCAATGCAGCCTTGGCACTGAGACTTCTACAAGCTCAAGTGATTCCACTGTGGAGAGTTGAGACACTTGTTATAGTCCAAATGTTACTAGTCCTACTTCTAAAAGATTCAGGCAAACCACCTTATGAGGGAAAAGAAAGGCATCTTTAAGAATATTTATATCACAATGTTAATTTGACTTTTTTCACTGCTAATGTTTAAAATAGTACATTTTATTTTTTTAACCAATTTTTGAATTTTGAGAATTTGTTAAAATGTTATACATTTTATAAAATTAGACCTATGCAATAAAGTTTTAACTTCAACTTCAAATAGTTTGTAACCACACTATTACGTAGGCAAACTAGTATATAAACAAACTATCTGGGTCAAGAATAGAAGAATGCCATGTCTTCATTTACGACACACCAAGTTATACAAAATTAAATAAGCAAATACTACATAAGTTATATCAAGATATAATTCAGCAAATGTGCATAATGTGTCTAATGTTATTCTCTATAGTACTGATGATCTAAGAAAATATAAGATGTAATATATGTTAGTCAAGACCACATACTGTGTAGTCAAATGTTGAGTCTCATTTCTAAATCCACCACTGTAAACTAGCTGCATATTTCTCAGCAAATTACCTAATCTCATTTAGCTTCTGTAATATGGAAATAGTGTTAATCCTAGTATTAATCCCTGAATAGTGTTAAGATTTGAGATAAGGTATATAAAATGCTAGGTAAGTCTTAGCAT